GTTCAGCCCTATATTTGTTGTGGTATTGTGTAGACTTTCTTGCTTTTCGAGTGTGGGACTGTGGGTATATGGGATTATGGTTGGTTGGGCAAATGGTAGATATTGAATCCGACACACTTGAGGTGCATGATTTCGGAGATTTGGGGAGGGAATAACCGCACTTACTTTGGCCTTTTGGCAAATGACATTAGAGTTATCGGAGATAGCTTTCTTAATATTAATATTAGTTTTTCACATATTCGACGATCTGCGAACCGAGTTTCTCGTGACTCAGCAAGGAAGGTTGGTTCTATGTCTGATTGTCATACTTGGTTTTTACGCCTCCTAGTTGCATTAAATGTGAATTGGACTTTCATTTGATTAATAGCAATTAATTTCATCTCTTGCAAAAAAATAATATGCCACTTTTCTCACTTTGCCAAGTACACCTTCATTCTTAAGTAGTCCGAAAAAATATTAACAAGATTCTAAATTGAACACCGATCTATCTTAAGTATACATTCTCACTTCATTACTAATCTATCATTCGAGATTTCTCCTTTTTGTAAAATTCTACTTTTCCCTATTTTTAGATGTTGCAAGATAAAATAACAGTATCCTTTATTTTATAAAACTTCTACTAGAAAATGTATTTTAGATTTTGGGACGGAGGCATATGTCTCTCACGCACACACAAAACAAGTTTGGAAGAAACAAATTTGAAACTAAAGATAAACCCAACACTCTCTAGGCCACCCAAACATTTCAATGAAGTGTGAAATTAAGAGAGTTGTTGATATTTTTATCACTAAAGGGAATTAATTGTTCCCGAGTCAAACCAATACAAAATTTAAAGAGAACTGTTTGTGCAACATAACATATAACATTTGACAGCGGATATGATTTTGAACCAAATAAGTTTTATTTGAATTTCATTTTGGGGTTTTGCCATTATTATTGAATCCAATTAGGAGGGAGCGAGTGAGCCACACATAATGCAAATTTTTATTGTTTATGCTAAAATAAACTAATCTAAAATATTATGAAGTGAATGGGAATCGTACAAATATAAATTGACAACGATTCAAAATAAGAATAACAACTAAAGAATATTAATTGAATAAGTTTGCACAGTTTGAATGAACTAGTTGATCGTGAATGGCCGTACATTACAAAGTGATCACATAAAGTAGTGTTTATTCTCCGAGCATTCTCATTAGCATTCCTAAATGTCCGGCGAAATAGGCGCCTTATCCTTAGGACTCGGACCCTAGTGCATCCACATCTTCTTTCTATTTGAAATCCTCTTATCCGTCCAACTCTCCCTTGACCGCACTAACCCTTTGCATTATTGGGCTAACTTCTCCTTTGAGTCCTTTCTGGTAGGTAATCCATTGGCCCAAACAACGAATATACTTTGGGCCCAACAATTGCCCCCATTCATGATGATGGCAAGTTGGCGCGCTAACCGAGAGCCGTCAGCATGAATTCAAATACTTGAACCCCTTGTAATACTCACTCGTCTTCTCCCTGATCGAGGAACTGGCTTTTCTCTTCTTTCTACTCGAAACCGTCTATCTGCTTCTCATCTAGTCGTCTTTCTTGTGTATTTTAATTCAACAATGCTTCATGTACCCACTGTTATACCCACCTTATACCCACCATGTTTGTGGAGTTTTTTTGTCTGTGAACTCAGTTCATAGACAATATTTTGTTTGTGCAAAATATTGTCTGTGAACCGGGATTCACAGAAAAAAATACTTCACAAACATTGGTGGGTACAAAAGTAGGTATAAGAGTGGGTACAAAGATCATTTTTTATTTTAATTTGTTGATGATGATTTGCACGGGGACCCCTAGCCCCCTAGGATAAAAGGTACGGAGTATTACATATCACAAGAGGAACTATAGTCAGAGAATAAATTTTCTTAGACAGAAATGTAGTCTGCATCACTAGGTACTTCTGCATTCAGTACGCAAAATTATGACAATTGTAGTTATAATTCAAAAAGTTATAGAAGCCGTTTGGAGCCTAGAAAATGGGTTGATAAGCTTTAAAATGTAAAAAAAGAGAGCCAAACACATGTCATTTTAGCTATTTGGGCTGATTTTTCTTATCAGCCAAAAAAGTAACAAAAAGGGTTACTTTTTCAGCTGAAATGTATTAATCAATTGTTCATAACCAAAAATTCTCCTTTGCCCTCGCCGTAGTACATCGTCTTCAAAAAATCGAAGACTACTTCTAGATTGACAACTTCTCTGTCTTCTTGCTCCAGCTTCTCCGGATCGGCTTCATATGCTCGGGTGCGTAGGTTTCATATGCTTGGCTGTGTATCTCCTTCCAGACCGGCTTCTCCATATTGGGTGTTCCAGAACTTTGGTTCTTATTTTCATTGGGTGTAAGTGAGAGAACTTTGGTTTTGATATCCTTCCAGATGGACGACTTATTGGGTGTAAGTTACAGAACTATGGTTCTGATTTTCATGCCCAGCGAGTGTTTCAGTTTGGGAATGTTCCGGCAGTATATGTGTCCATTGGAGCAGCGGAGGTGGTTCAAGGTTTGGATCGCTGCCTTGAACGACACAAGTATAAAAAAAAGGCTAAAGGGTCAAATAGGTACATGAACTAACTTAAAGTGTTCAATTAGCCCCTTATATAGGATGTTCTGCCCGGCCGTCGCCAATTGTGGCAGTTCCCGGTGGAATTTTTTGATGAAATTTTTTGAGCATCTTCTTCATTAAGTGTAGTTTACCCATATCAAATTTCAGCTAAAACTTAAATCGGGAAGGCAGTCAAATGATTTTCCGAAATATACTGCGCTGTTTAACTGCGCAGTTATCTTCAAAAAATCATTTTACTGCCTTCCCGGTTGAATTTTTAGCTGAAATTTGGGATGGGTAAACTAGACTTAATGAAGAAGATGCTCAAAAAATTTCATCAAAAAATACCACCGGGAACCGCCCCAATTGGCGACGGCCGGGCAGAACCTCCTATATAAGGGGCTAATTGAACACTTTAAGTTAGTTCATGTACCTATTTGACCCTTTAGCCTTAAAAAAATAAGCAAATACCCTAATCGTAATTTTACATTCAATCAGCCATTTTAGCCAATATATTACCAAACACTTTTATTTCAGTAGATTCAGGCTTTTCACCCCTTCCAGCTGCTCCAAACACGCCCATAATTTGAATTTTTGCAGCATAATAAACTTTTAGTAGTTTTGACTTTTGAGATGTGCAAATTTTAATGCTTATACTACATTAATTCATTCATACTTGCTCAAATTATTTTATATGAAAATTAATTTTTATTGAATTATAATTTTCATGTCATGTGTTGGGACTAAGGGAGTGTTTGCAACAACTTAAAAAAGCACTTTTGGGGTGATTTGGAAAAAGTGATTAGTTGTAAAAGTTGATAGTGTTTGAGAAAAAGTGATTTTGAAAAGTAAAAGTTGGTAGTGTTTGGTAAAATAAGTGCTTTTGGTGTATAAAAATGGGAAAAACACTTTTGACACGAAAGCCGATAAAAGTAAAAAATTGGTAGTTTTTGGTAAATAAGTGTTTTTTAAAGCCAAAAGCTGAGAAGTGCTTTTTTAAAGCTGTTGCAAACCAGCCTTAAGGTATTTACCGATCTCAAACTCTTTTGGGACTAAGACTTGGATGTAATTGTTATATTCATTTCATATTACCTCTTAGAAGTTGTTTCATCTTATTATTATTGTTTATTCTTATTTTATTCAAATCTCATCAGATCAGTTCAGAAAAACTTTGATCAAATCAGATCCGAAAGAGTCAGATCAGATTAGATAAAAAACATTCAGATCAAACTATAAATATTAGGATCATATCAGAAAAAGTTCAGACATAATTTATTACTCCCACCGTATTTTAATATTTGCTACATTTTTCTTTTTTGGATGTATTTAAAAATTTGCTACATTTTCCCTTTTTGGTAAGTTTTTCTTTAAAATACTCAATTACCCTCACTTCTTCTATTTTTTTTCTTCTCTTTCATAATTCATATCTTTCCACCATCATTCCTACTTTTACATTATTCATTACGCCTACTGTTTTGCTCTTAAATAATGTGTCCAAACCTATTGTAGTGAACATTAAAATACAGAAGGAGTATTACTAATAATGTTGTTATTGTTGTTGGGATGGGATATTAAGCATAGGCCCAAATGCCTCATGGAGCTCAATCCACATACGGGCCCAATCACAATATAGTCAGTTCAGGACTTCAGGGTGCTCGCATGGCTTACCCCCGAAGGCCGAAACTGGTCACGTTGCTCAAGTCAATCTCCTCACTTGGGCGCCTCTAATCGATTCATATCATCTACTATCTTATATTACAAATAACATCATTTATTTCATTGTAAAGAATTGTTAAACTTATATACTCAACAATAGACTTCTCTCAAGGAAGCGGTCCAACTCACGTACTCGGCTAGTCGCCGACTCATTCTTCCTTGTGAGAAGTCTCGAGTTCAATTCTCCATGGAGGGAGATCACATCTCAGTTTACTCCATCCCCCCATCCCCCCCACCCCCACCCCAGGGTTAGGGAAAAAAATGACTTCTCTCTAATTCTTTTGTGGTCTCTACTCTCTAGCTTGATCTAGGGCATCAGAACTCAGGCTCGACACAAATGTTGTAATCGTTCTAAGGACTAATAGAACTAGATCCACTTTGTCTCTTATTTATTTGCTATTATCTTTGCCTCATTCTTGCCTAAAACATTCGCCTAAACTGACCCATTAAAAGCAATCGTACAAAAGCCCAAGAGACTTTGTTGGACCTTTGAACCTCTAGGACCTAGCATCATCAATTATTATTGTTGTTGTTCAGATTCGAAAGATTCAGATCACAAAGATTAAAATCAAATCAGAAAAATTTGATCAGATATCTTAATAAATTCAGAAACATTTAGATCAAAAGAACGGAACAGCTTTACCTTTTTACATTTGATACACTATTCACTAATCCTACAATTTAAATGTTAACCTATGTGACTACGAAAGAGTAAAAGTGACATAAGTCATAAGAAAGAACTAAAAATAAAATGAATATCACATTCCAATATGCTTCCAAAGAGAGAGAAACTCAGTCTCGAAGGGGGGGAGGAGACCAGGATACATCAGAGCCCAGACTCTCAAGACACAATAGAAGGGTTGCAACTTGAGGAAGTTGCCAGTAAAATATACTACTATATAATAAAAATTGCCAGAAAGAAAACACAAGGAACACTGTTCAAAGGGAGACATTGACATTTAAAGAAGATTGGGTTACAACAATTTCTTTGGAATTATCTTCTGATGTGGGGTGGTTTGGGCAGTCAAACTTGAGCATCACATGTAGAGGTCTGCACAAAATGAGGCTTTCCAAATCTCTATGTGATGCCAAAAGATATGAAACAAGCACATCTTTCCTTACCCCCATTCTGCCAGCAGGGTCCAAATGATCTACTATCATCTTGGCAGTATGGTGCTCTCCACTCTCCATCCTACTGTCTGCACTCTTCTTCCTCAGTTTCATATACAATGCAGCTGAAACCATGATCTGGAATTAACCCAGATTTCATTAGACACATAAACATAATTACCAAAGGTAAAATAATGATCTTCCATCTGATAACACATATATCGATGCATGTATGCATCCTGCATACCTAAATTCATACATGCATTCACGTGTCCATGCATGCATGCATACATAGATGCTTCATGTGTGTTAAATTGGTAATATAAAAGGATGGATACCTCGCTTGTACCAGGGCTGGTGTTGACACAGCAACCAATGCGAACTTTCCCCTCAGACTCTACTTTAGAAGGTCTCGAGCTAATCATATCTATGCTAGATTCAGTGGATGAGCTTTGTCCTTTGTTTCGTTCTTTTTCAGGTGCCCAAAAGGTATGGTGGTCAAGTTCATCATACCATTGCTGGGCAGCGGATACCTAAACAATGAATGACTCATATACACCACTGTCTATATAAAAGTCCTAATAAAAAAACAATTAAAAGGAATAAATGGAACCAATGCACTAAATATGATGACAACGAACTTTTGATTTGATATAAACATGAAACCTTTTCGGAAGTAGAACTGCTCTCCGCTTCTTCTTCAGATACTACTGTAGCTGCTCCTCTAGCTTGGCGCCATGTGCAACTTTCACTCAAGGGTTCTACCAGATCAAATGAATGGGGTATGTCGATACTCAATAGTATGTCAACTCTGCCTAAAAAGACAACCAAAGTGTGAGCCCAGAGGTGAAACATCAAAATGAAATTATATATCAACATTAAAAGAGAACATAAATGAGAAACCAGGACAAATACGAAGGAGGTGATACTAATTGAACATTAAAATCAGATAAACACCTGGGAGCAAGGTAAAATGTTCAGTGTGATCAACGTGAAGTTCTGATAATGTATCATGACTGGAACATTAAAAAAAGATGAAACAGTAAAGATTTTTTTGTAGCATAAAGAATTTAAAAAATTCATAACAGTAATAAGATGAAGCCATGAAACATCCTACTTTTAGAAAGCTGGGGAAAAAAGAGAATAATTTCTATTTGCTACACTTACGTAGAACATACACGCTCCATAGGAAATGAGAGCCAATAAGGAAGACCCAGAATGCTGAAATTTGAGAATTGGAAGGTTGATAAAGTCCCGGATTTCCTATCGAATTTAAATACCTCCTGACCAACTTCAAGGACATGCTTATCAAGACAACCAAACTTTGACTATATGCAGGTAGAGGATTCTATTTCTTAGAATTCTTATTTTTATACCTGGATTGCAAACGATTACATCATCTTGAAGAGTTGCAATGGAAGAAATTAGAGCAGCATATGGAACTCCCTCCAATGAGCAACTAGTGTGCACTACCCGCTTCAACAAACCATCTGGCACTTGTTTCAAAATATTTGACTTCTCCATAATTGTATGCCCACAGATCTCCATTATATTCGAGAATCCTTCAAGAGCATACATAGTGATAATGATGTTGATAGGGCCAACTTACATTAATAATACAAGCAACGAAGTACACTGCAGCGGCTTCCATACCTCTCACAATTTCTTTGAGAGTCCCAGAGGCAAGGTCCATAACCCATAAAGTCTGCAAGCTGCAAATAAATTTTTGAATTGCAGTCACAACCCCAGTTGTATCTCTTCGAGTCAAAATAAAAAATAAAAAAAGAAGATAAAATGTAATGTTTCAATTGCTCTTTGCATTATCAGTCAATAAATTCAAATTGATTTATTTCCAAAACTTCAACAGAACGTAACGAGAAAAAACGATGTAGCAATGTTAGCTTGAAAGACCCACATGCCAAACAAAGATTTGATATGTGAAACCATCTAAGAGAATTAATTAGGTATCCATCAACAGCCTACTGCTTGGTTTTGAGCACTAGGTACGGTAAAAAAGATGACAGCCCTTACTTAAAATCAAGAACTAAGAGATCATTTTGGCATTTTAACATGTGCCAAGGGAATAGCAATGATTTTGGAGAAAACTCATCAGATCCTTCTTGATCCTTCTTGCTCCAAAGCTTGCCCAAAATCCAGCTCCATAAGCTACTGGAATCCTTATTTGAGATCGTTGCAGGATATATCGTCTCTACAGTTCTCCTCTCCATATCAGCTCTCCTGATGGCATGGTTCTTTCACACCAAGAGCACACTTTAGCTTAACTAAATACAGAATAAAGATTAAGGAATTCTGGTACCTAAACTGAAGCAAAAAGATAACTGAGGAATGGGGGAAGCTGAAAAGGAAAAAAGAAAAAGAAATCTACCTACATGGCTACATGTGTTCATGAGTATAACTACAAATGCATAAATGCAGCATTGCACTCTTCTGTCTTCAGATAATATATAGGGAAAATTCCCTAAATAGGAGTAAAACATAGTAATTTTCACAAGTAGGAGTACCCTTGTTTTCTTCAGAAAATAGGACCCATGCACTTCTATTTAGGGAATTTTATTTTTTTAATAGGACTAAATAAGTCATATGTTGGGAAGAAAACATACTTAGTCCTATTTTTAAACTTTTTATATGTTCTACTCTTATCTTGAGCAATTTCATTTCAATAATAATGCAACCTAATGGGCTTTTGAGCAGTACCTCCGAGTCCACAATGTAGAGGCAACCCTCATCAGCATGATAAAATGATGCTGCAGGGCGCATAAATTTTGCACTTTCAAAGTCTCCATCTTCAAAACCAGGAGAGGAACCAATCTAGATTAGAAACAAAATTTCAATTAGCTTGTTTTTAATCAATTCTTACCCCCTCCGTCTCATAATAAACTTATGCCATGGTATGGGCATGGGAATCAAGAAAGTAACATTGTGTGGTTGAAATTTATTTAAAATATAGAAACAATATCAACCACAAAAATCTTTCCTTGAGTGAAAATTACAAGTCTGTTTTGGGACAACCCAAACCAGAATGGAAATTTATTTTAGGACAGAGGAGAATTTATTATTTATTATTGATTAACAATGTACTTCAACAAGCATATTCGTACAAAGTCTTGAATTCCTCCATGAGCGTCAAATACAATTATCCGGTGGTGATGACTGTCAGAAATATAAATGTGATCTCCAGACTGATCAACTGATATACAACCTACAACGAGACCAATAACAAAGTTTTGATATGTTCAAGCAAAAAATAATGTAAAAACTTACAATCTTGGTCATCAATGATTTAAAAATATTACTCCGTACTTCTTTCTATGTTGAAGTAATGGCAATATTAAGACAGACTACCAGGCACCAATCAATATAGATAAATTAAAAATTTTGTGTTTTCTTCTGTTCAACTAAAAGGCAATATTATTAAAAACAAAATAATTACAACAGATTACTCCATGACTATTCAAGTAAAACCTAACTACTGTTAATTGGGTATTTTCAATTAGAAAATTTTTCTTATTCATATTTGGTTTGAACAGTTTAATGGAGCTTTTAGTGTAGTTCTTGAAAATTGAAGTTTAAATGATTAACTACTCCCTCTGTCCCATTTTATAAGATATCTTTACTATTCACTTGGTCAACACAGATCACAATTAATCTCTTACTTTATATATCAAAATTTTATAAAATTTGAATTATTTTTTGCAGGTTTTGTAGCGGTTTTAATGTAGTTTCTGAATATGTAATTTTCTTTTTCTAAAAATAATTTGAGTGCAGACAGGGATCCGTTTGCTTTATCGTCGGTCAAACATCGTAAACCGAAAAGTATCTTATAATTCGGGACGGAGGGAGTATATGTTAGAAGTTATAACAATTAAACTATAATTAATTTTTCTAAAAAGTCCTTTTCAATAATTTTTTGCAAAGTTTACGATGTGCTGGTCAATGTTATAGTAAGCCCCTGTGGTTCTTTTTATGACAAGTAAAAAAAAGAATGAAGAACTAAATCATAAGGTCCTAGAGAAACATATACCTGGGAAATAAAGAAATAAATTCTGTAATGAAATACAAAGATATGGTTCATTCAATACTTCGAGTGGTTTTTGCCAAGGACTATTCATATTTTGCGCAAAACCAAGAGTCTTCCTCTGCTGCGCTTTCAAATCCTTGATGACTGTCGACATGAAGCAGAAAGAGAAAAGTAAATTTATTGGTAAGATCATTAGACGGATGGGGATATTAGAATACATCAATGAACAATACTGAACATAAATCTAAAAAGAAACATTAAATAAATAAATTATACCTTTTCCTATTAAATATGAGAATTTAGAGGGTATTTATGATAGGTCTATTGTGCAAGTCTGCTTTTTTTTGTTTGAGCATGAAATATGGCATTTCTGTCTAAGCTTGTAAAGAAAACTAGCAACTGAATAAACAATTAAACATTATATACTCCGTAATAGATAATTGAGTATTTCCCAAAATAATTGAAATACACCTTGTGGTGGGACCCTTCCCGTAGATAAATAATTGTGGTACAACTTGTAACTTTTCTAAGCTTATTCAAATATTATATCTTGTCTGGGGAAGGGTCCCACCACAAGGTGTATAAGGAGTAAGTCTTCCCTTGTCATTTTAACAAGAGGTCGCTCTCAAGGTTTAAACTTGTAACATCATTCCCTCAGTGTTTTAGAATATCAATAGATCTTTCTGTCCACAGAGCCTATAAGATACGTCTAGCAGTACTAACATTTAAAGGTCTATAAGTTCATGAGAATGTGTGGCCCAAAATTCAAATAAACAAGCACTGCAGACCAAAACTATAATTAGCTTGGTCCGTGGTTCATATTGGTAACTAAATCTAGGCTGAAACAAGCAACAACAACATTACCCCAGTGCCTCAAAGGGGGATAAGGGGGATCAGATGTACATAGCCCTTCCCCTATACTAAAGCAGGGAGAGACTGTTTGCGGATGATTCCTGATGAAAATCGCGTCGAAAATTGCATGAACTGATAGCTGCTTCATAACAAAGAAGCGCAGACAGTTTAGTGAGTCATTTTGCTTTATTCCATCATATTCTCAAGCCAAAAAATAGCGAGTATTTGGCTCCATTGCAAATGATGGAACCTAGGGTGAAACAGACTTTGACAAATATATGCACTCATTCCTAGTCTCCTACAATCATAAAAACCATATTCAACCTTAGGCTCCATCACACTTCTAACAGTAATATTTAAGCATCTCTTTATTACACTACTTCTGAGGAGAGAGATGATAAAGTCTGACCACTGAATCCTTCAGGTTTTTCACTGAATAAGAATAAAAGGACTCAACTTGAAAAAGTTAGCAAAATTGGGCAAGATTGGCTCTTCTGCATTTATTTTTATTAGCAATCATTTTTCAATTTAAATGGTTCTACACTTTTCCCTTTATGTTGCCTTGTTTTATTTCTCAAGTGTCAGTCCCTTATAAAGCAATCAAATTCAGATATTATAAACAAGAACCACAAAATACTCTGACCATAAAACGAACTTAATTTTGGCTTTCATGGTGTATACTACTACGTCACTTCCTCGGTCCAAAATGAATCCAGCTTTACTTTTCTTTGTCAACAAAATCCATTTTGTTAACTGATTTTGATTATCGATTCGTGATCATTTTTAGATTTGGTTTTTTAGATTCAATAGAATTTTTAGTCTAGTTTCTAGATATATAAATTTTTACTACTATCACTAACTTGAAAATGCCAGGGGATAATTAACTTTATGCTCAGTCAATCTTGAAATTTTTTTGCAAACCAATTTGTGACGGATCATAATACAATTGATTTCTAGTTACTGTTTTATATTCATAACTGGTTTAAATTTGATTTTCGACTCTTCGAAAATAAAGTAAGGAAACTAGAAAATTCATAGCATTGGCTCAAATTAATGGCTACTCAGTTCACATTTAGCTTCAGTAAAACATCGTGGCATCTTGTTTAAAGGAACAACTAGATGAAAGTAGTCAAAAACAAAGATGATGTACTGGGGACTTGTTTGAAGATATAGCAAGGTAAAATGAGTAGCTTGTTTGTAAATATAGCAAGGTAGTTGAAGAAACGTAAATCAAGGGTGTAGAAAATGTTACATTAATTAATTATTAGATGTAGCAGTACATATGTAGCCGGGTAGATAAGTCTTAGAGCTGTTAGCTTTCATTTATTACGGAGTATTAGATAAGCTTTGTAGTTGGCTAGATCCTATTTTATAGGATCTCCCCAGGGAGTTTATTACTTGTAAATCCTATATATATTCTGGCCAAATGGATCAATAAACATCAAGGAAATTTATTCCTAAAACTTACAAAGGGAAACCCCCTAATCAGGAGGGAAGAGAGAGAGAAGTGTAGAGGGAAAAGATAACAAGAGAAGAGAAGAGAGAAGTCAAAGATGAGACATACATGTGTTGGCTAGGAGAATTCAAGTAGGATAACTAGTGAAGTTATCAGAATTGCGTTACATAAGAGAAAAGAGAAAGGAAAATAAGGCATGTAAGACTATCCATTTAAGTCGACTTCTTAAAAGGAAAAATAAAATTGGTGTTCAAGTTTAAACAGTTGGCCCAAACTAAAACATCCTTATTGCATAAGCCTCAACAACACCTCAAGGAATTGCACAATGAGGTGTACGCCTTATGCAAGAATTGTGTAATCCTTGCCAATTCTGCCATCCGGTATAGCCTCAAAGCACAACTCTGCTAGAAATGCCCGAGCCGCGGCTCAAGGAGCAATTGCATTTAGGCAACTTGGACCATTGGTAAAGTAATGATGAATAACAAAAGGCTGACATACCATTTTCCAGATTCACCTGATCTACTTCCCTGGCATGGTACATTATAGGGCTCTTAGAGCCACTAAATATGATGCAACATGAACCACCAACAATCTGAAATTGCAATAAAAAAATATTACATGAACAGGGAGTTAGCAAGGACATCAAACCCTGACATAAATTAAGTCGACGAAAGATTCAAGAAAATCTTCAAAAAAATGACCAATTTAGAGCACAAATTGACATGGATCAAACAAATTATACAACCTCCGCATTATTAATTCACAATTCTTAGAAGCCCGGTCCATTATGCAAGAAATACATCCAAATTCCTCTTTCAAAATGTAATACTTTGATTATGCATTTGTAAACTTTGGCTCAAGGTGATGGTATGCAACACACCGTGGGAAAATTCTTGTTAGACAGCAAAATAGGAAAGCTTATGTATTCCTTCATCACTCTTTGGAGTAAATGTGTGTAATCATCTTTAGAGAGAAGAGCAGATGTTGTATACTGATACCCCATGACTTGAATAAAAGGATACCTGCCATTTCAAAGGCTCAAACCAACCAATCATATTATTAGAGAAGCAAAGACACAACACCCACATCATACCTTTGCTGAAGGAATTTGACTTTATTGAGCATGAAAAAAAGTTCATGCTGTGTCAAGGAGGAGCCTCGGAAAAACTCAGCTACAAGGACTAATGTAATGCCTTCTTTCTTCAATATATTCTTTTGCGACAGAATTCCATTTAACCAAATATGAGAAGGGCCTATGCATCCAAGTAGAAGTTTAAGAAAGAATGGTATAGATGGTGGACAAAAATGTGATCTGCCTTTTGCACTGAATTCATTTGTCAAATTCAAGACTGAATACATGGTCAATATGAGTACACATAAACACAATGATGTGTACCCAAACTGATATATACCATTAAGGTATAGGTATACCAAAAGCTATTGGATGCTTCATGCACAGTTGGCACATGAGGCGCCTTCATCCCAATTTATAAAAGCTCACGAGCCACACGAAGATGCAGCCAGGTTATAGAAGTATGGTTTACTTGTAATAAGTCTTATGGTTCTAAATATATTATTGTTAGGAATTTTGTTGTGAGAGCCTGTTTCACCTTCATGCTTGTTAACAGTAGACTGGATGAAGGATAATAAGTCAAGCCGCGGAAAGGACTCTTTTTTTGGTTTTGACATAGTTGAAAACCTGAAAGAGACTGTTTTAGACATGTTAGAAATGCAACAATTGAAATTGTTAAAATAAAAGAGTTTATTGTTGCAATTCATGTTAAAAATATCCCAATGAGTCTAATACTCCAATTCACAAATACACCAAATAGGGGATAGGCCATATATGCTTCCGCTCGAGTTACATTTGGCTACATAGATAGAACATACAACATATTACAAAGATACTAGAAACCTAGTAGCCTACGACCTCTGAGAGACTAGGATACAATCTCTCTTCTAAAATCCATGCATAATTGTCTAACCATGCACAAGCCTTGCCTACGTTGTGCACTATCTGCCCACTGTTAGCACCTAGCTTTTTTCACAAAGCTGGGCAAGATATTGACAAGAATTGAGTACTGAACTAGCAAAACTTATAAATATGCTTCCCAAACTGATTTTACTCCACCATCGCAATAGTCAATCTTACCTATCTCATGCTCCCTCGGTCCCAGTGAATGATCTCACTTTGGTTTACGATGGTTGACTAATGCTAAAGTTAACTCTTCATTGATGATATTTAAATTAATCACTCCCTTTGTCCCACTATCTTTGTCCCATTTTATCTATTTGGCTCATTCCACTAAGAAGTTTGTCGCATACCATATTTGGTAATATTTGTGTGATTCTAATTCAATCTTACTTTATTCACACTTTACCAATTCAATACCAACCACATAAGCCTACTTTTCTTAATAACCGCACCACCTATCATGTCCCAATCTTAGGGGCTAGGTAGTAAGGATTAAAACCTACATATTTGGATGCTACAGTAACAGATCTATTGAGCCACAATAGCTATCATATATGATCGGAGTATTAAATAGACCGCAGAACAGGCGTCTTGACATTATATTGGGACTGAGATAGTAACTAAAACTAGCTCAATCTATCTACATTCTACATGTGGGAATAGTGCAGTCTATGTTGAAAACTTCAAACAATTATCATGCCAGAGATAAGTAAAAATAACCCAAATAGAATAGGATGATAAAATTTATTACCTAACCAAAGAAAAATTGTTTCTGCAACTTTAATAGAAAATATGCACTAGTAGCACACATATAGGCATGAAAAGATGGTGTCTCATTATGTAAAAAAGTTCACGTTTTTCTCAAAATTAAACTGAGCCTCTAATGTTTCCTGGACATTATTATTTTTCTCCACATATAAAGGCATGAAGCACAACTTCGTGAAATCAAAACTTCTATGGCAAGGCGAAAAGGACATGCAAATTGCAAATGATACACAAGAAGCACTACGACATGTACAAAAAATTACCTGCAAGAAGTATAGCACATGTGATCATGTTTCTTCACACACACAATGGATACCGGAAGAGATGAGAGTGAACGCAATTGAACTATGTTTCCAGCGCCTCCGAGGAGATGATAACTAGTCCCTAACCGTTCCGATGGGAAATGATTAAAATAAATACTTGGTTTATTAAAGATTTGTAATAATATCCATTGGAATTTGGAAACTTAGGTTACCTGGATAATTTACATGTAAAAGCCTACGAATTTCTCGCAAGCAACGAATCCTTAAAGCCAGGGTTTTCCCCATTTTAAAAATGGGTTTTACGCCAATATAATCCTTGAGACCTTGAATATGGCCCCTACCAAGCACAAGATCTCGCTGCATTAGGGGAAAACGATTCAGTTAATACATTGTTTGAAAAATCCAATACATATGTCCAGCATAAACAAGCTGTAGAAGAATGTCAGGAGGAAGAAGCAGTACGGTCATTTACCGTATCCCAGAGCAGGCCTTCAAACTAAAATGCACAAAGAAGACCAGCTGATTAACTGGCTTACAAAGCAGGAGGTATTTTAAAGAGGGAGATGAGGTGTTGCGTCTCAAGCTGTAAAATTGATGGTTACATGCCACGGCCAGGGCCAGGGCCAGGGCCAGGGTCAGGGAGAAGTAGGGATGGCAACGGGGCGTATCGGGGACGGTTTTATATATAACCGTACCCGCCCCGTTTGGTAATTCCCCCGCCCCATAACCGCCCCATTACCCAACGGGTAATTTTTACCCAAACCATAACCGCCCCATCGGGTAACGGGTATAACCGTGGGTAACCGCGGGTAATCACTTTATTAAATGAGTCATTGATATTTTAATAAAAATAATATTTTTAAATGCGAAAAATGACATCACCTAGACGACGCTAAAGTCATACGCTACTTTACAGCTTCATATATCTATAAGACCAGAAAGAAGACAACCTAAATTAATTTGAACCTAAAAATACTTAATCTGAAAAATATTTAATCACGAAAAATCATATAATAATCAAACAAAACTATTAAGTTCTATTGAGAACTTTCATTCTTACACTATAGTTAGTACATCTATTATCCATATATACACAATGAACATTAAAAATCTCATCTTTTATTAGTCGTGGGACAAATAATAGATAAGAATGTAATAAAAATATGACTAAAAATAAACGGGGCGGGTACGGGGCGGGTAATGGGGCGGGCATGCATAAAACCGTAACCGCCCCGTTACCCGTAAAAACAAAACGGGTATTCCCCGCCCCGTACCCATTACCCGGTCAATGCGGTTTTCCCCATTTTGACCGGGGCGGTTCGGTGCGGGTATCCATCGGATCGGTCACAACTGCCATCTCTAGGGAGAAGTTACCGGCACTTTTAGTGTAAATTCTACTGTTTGTCACTTTTTCGACATTGTTTGGCGCTGTTTTGACACTGTTTGGCACTGTTTTACACTGTTTGGCACTGTTTTTATGTAGGATAACTTTCCATTTAAGGAAATGGGAACTTTTTGTTGGGACTATTAAAAAAAGGAAATTGGGAACTTCTCCCTGGGATGGAGGTAGTACTTCGTACTCCTTAGATATCATCAATACAGTAATAAACAAATGGAAAAATTGACAAGAATAATTCCACCTTTTACTGGTCTTCTCATAATAATCTCACCTTTAAATAATCCCAAAATAATCCCACCTTTGCACCTCATCTTCTTTCATTGGCCCCTGACCATGTTTTTTACTCTTTCTTTGAAAATTATACAAATAATCTCACCTTTCACTTTTTAATTATATCCTTATAAACATGAGATTATTTATATAAGATTTTTATAAAAGGTAAAAAACTTGGTTAGGGTCCAATGAAAGAAGACGAGGTGCAAAGGTGGATTAGTTTTGGATTATTTAAAAGTGGGATTATTATGAGAAGACTAGTGAAAGATAGGATTATTCTTGTCAATTTTTCCTAAACAAATTTATCTGACAAAAAAATTAAATTGTTTGAGGAAGAACACACAATGCTCGGATAGGGGTGGTTCAGTACGGTATACCTTATTTTTTTTCTCATACCTTTGCCGTACCAAAACTTTCGGTATGCAAAATTTGCATACCTTTACCTTACCGAAGTTTCGGTATACCGCATTGCGGTATACCGAAGTTTCAGTTCGGTGACGGTACGTTATCGGTAAATTACCGTGCATGTCTCCTAATACAAAAAATTATCATAGACTAACGAAATATACTAAATCGTACGTTATTACTAGTGACATATTAAATCTATTATTAAAATGTTACGAAATACAATTAATAATCTATTGATGTCAATTCAATATTGAACAATAATTATTATTAGTATATTTAAGCAGTTCAACATGCCATATATTAAAAAGTAGCACATTCTCCTAAAATAACTTGAACAATATAGATATAATTAAATCAATAGTGAGCTCTAACAAAAATAAATAAAACTATTCAAACAACATGGATATAAAATCATTTATTCCTAATATGATATTGTGTATTTAGTCATCTTTATAATTTTTTAGAAATTGAATAAATCTTTCGGACAAAGTTTTGTGTCTCGACTCGCGGAATCCGTATGTAGATTCACTTGTCACATAAGTGTATCTCTCTTCACTCGTCAGCTACTTAGCGGTCCAACCATCACGACTTGCAAGCTCTTGGAACAAGATAATGGACTTGTTTCTTGACATTTGTACATTACTCATTAGTCATTATGGTTAGCGTAGTAGACGCCTATAAGGTTATAGTGGGTTTGAGAAATTGGGCCTTTATTTTTGTATTTGTAACCAACTTAAGTATTAATTTTGGGCTTCAAAATTGTAATGGATTTTTACAATATATTAGAATTAAAAGTAATTGTTGAGTAGGGAGTCGGTACGGTATTATATCGGTATACCACGGTATTTGAAAACATTTACCATTACCGTACCGAAATAGATCGGTACGGTATGATACCGTACCAAAAATGACGGTATACCAGTATTTCGGTATTTTCCGGTATTTTTCGGTATGGTAAGTGCGGTATACCAATTTTTCGGTATTTTTGCCCACCCCTATGCTCGGACCTTTACTATGAATCGGTGTGTAGAATCGTTTCACATGAATTCTTACCAATCAATCTAGACTAGAATTGAAGTAATATGAGTATAATGGTAAAAATAGCATTACAACAAACTAAATAGTAAATATACAAATGCACAATTACAATACACTTAACAATTTATTAAATAAGAATAATTATAGATAAACTCCATGCTTGCACAAAAAATTAACAATTTATAAAATCGAATTAATAATGAATAAACTCCACAGTAAACTGACACCAAATGGGAAAAGGAAGGTCTCGGGGCTTGGCAAGGCGGGCGGCGGAAGCCCTGAAATTCCAGTTTCCCTCAAATCGGCAGGGTCGAGCGGGTGCAGGAGGAATTAACGGAGTTGTCAAATTGGTTAGTTGTTGGTTCACTTGGCTGCTGCTGGAGTTGTTGCGCAGACGAGGCTAAATGACCAATTCTGTTTGGCAATCTGGGCACGGGATCGGGTCGGGTCGGGTTGGGTCGGACCATCAAAATCCCGGAAAACTTCGGGTTCTACATTTTTGGGCCCGACCGGAGGACCAATACATTCGGGTTGGTCCGGATATTAAGAGCCCCGGGTTGGATTCAGGTCGGGTTGGGTTGAACCCGGGAAAAAAATCGAACCGATATCTCTTAAACAATCGAAATACAATCACAACAAAAGTTGCAAATATCTAAACTTCTAAAAAAAATTGCGTAGTATATTCAAACCAAATAAGTATATTTTGAATCTAAAAATCACACGATAGAAAATGTTATAGAATAACAACTGGTTCAAAAGCTAAGTAATATTCCCTCTGTCTCAAATTGATTTACAAAATAAAGATTTTTTGGTCAACAAATGCTAAAGTTAAATCCTCCATATTGATACTAAATTCAATTTTAATTATAAAAATTTATATATTCAAGAACTACATTAAAATTTCTTCAAAGTTGCAAACTCCAAATTAAATATAATTAAAAAGTGACATCCAAATGAAGTGAATAAAATGAAATTGTTTGACTAAAAAAGTCAAATTTGCAAATCGATTTGGGACGGATGTAGTATAAAATAGTCCATATGTATTATATATAAAAATCGGTATGATGTATTAATAAGTCATATGTATTTTATATATAATATATATTTTTTAGTTTCTTAATTAAATTGGGTTTTTGCGGTGCTGGTCGGGCTTAAAATTTTAGAACCCGAATTAGGATCCAAGTTTTCGGGTTCGGGGCGGGTATTTTAACCGAACCGGTCATTTTTAAAATAAAACCAGGACCAACGTCATATATCGGGTTGGGTCGGTTCGATTTTCGGGTTCAGCACTTGGGCTATTTGAGAATCAACAGGCTGAGGAGTGAGGGTTGAGTTGCTTTCTTGTTTCGCCGCTGCTCCACTCACATTCCGTATGTTCTCCTTTCTTTTCTTTTCTTTTCTTTTCTTTTGTTTATTCTTTTTTTTCTTTGTTCTCCTTTTTTTCTTTGTATGTTCTCCTTTCTTTTCTTTCTTTTGTTTATTCTTTTTTTTCTTTGTTTGTTCTCCTTTCTTTTTTTAGCAACCTTCTACTTTGCTGTTATATTCAATTATTATGAATGTATAATATAAAATAGTATTAAATGTTTCAAATTATTTTTTAGATTCATATAGTAGTTGATAGATATAGGAGCACAGACCATGACATTCAATTGAATGTTTTCAATACTCAATAAAAAAGGTTTGATGCTCAATAAAAATGTCTTGAAGTACAACTAAAAAAATTATGATTTTCATATCAATACTCATTTTGTAAGTTACGTTTGTTCAATTTGTACTCATATTATGCTCATTTTTAAAATGTCATATTTATGCAAATTTTCAAAGTTGCATATGACATTAGATTCATATTGTTAGGTTCCTAATACTCAACCGAATAAGTCTGATGCTCATTGAAAGTGTTTTAATGCTCATAATAGGTCTGATGCACATTAAAAGTTCATTAATGATCATTTAACAGAAATTGTGATTTTCATCTCAATAGATGAGTTTTGATGCTCAATGAAAACGTCATTACGATTTTCATATCAATGAACATTTTGTAAGTTACGTAGGCTCATCTGGTACTGAACTTATGCTCATTCTTTATATATCATATCAATGCATTTTTAAAGTACTACTTTACATTAGATTCATATATTGAAATTCATAAGAGTTGATTATAAATATAATTTAATAGGTTTTTATAAAAGAAAAAATAACAAAAAGAAAGTAAATTAGAAGTTATGAAGTATAGATCACGATTCTGAATATTAGACTCCTAATACTCAACATAATAGGTCTGATGCACATTAAAAGTTCATTAATGATCATTTAACAGAAATTGTGATTTTCATCTCAATAGATGAGGTTTGATGCTCAATGAAAACGTCGTTATGTCAAACTAACAAACCTTACGATTTTCATATCAATGAACATTTTGTAAGTTACGTAGGCTCATCTGGTACTGAACTTATGCTCATTCTTTATATATCATATCAATGCATTTTTAAAGTACTACTTTACATTAGATTCATATATTGAAATTCATAAGAG